ATACATATACATACACACACACATATATATATATATATATATACACATACATATACACACATATACACATGTATATATACACATATATACATATACACATATATATATATATACATATATATACATATGACACGTAAGTCTTAAATGAGTGGCAGACTACTGACAACACGAGGAAACATGAGGAAATGAAATAACACAATTGTGTCATTATAAAGGCAAAAGACACAATACAGCCTTTTGAGATCACAGTCGCCATGAAGCACTTCAACAAGAGTCTAATAAGTTTGGATGTTCATCTGTGTGTGCGCTTTTGGCAGTGAAGCTGGCAGGAATGCCAGTCTAAATCACAAGATCCCAGGGAGCAGGCACTGGCATTGGCAGACATGCTCACAAGATTAAGGACACATATTTTCAACAAGAGGTCAGAAGTTGCACTCATGTCATTCCAAACCTATAGTTCCAAACATACAGTTATCAAAAGAGCAGTCTATACCACTTTCTTGTCTTTTTAACCGTAACCGTATACAAGTTTGAAAAGATCATGTGAACTCCAAACAATACATAAGGCTGTCTCCAGACCACAGAAATGGATTTAACATGAAACAAACTCATGCATATAACTCTAGACCTTGACCATCTAAAGCTCTTTTATTTGAAACAATCTTTCCTGAAGAGTCCCTCTTTTCCTGTTGAATGGGCTCGCAGTCAGATGGTTGTGGTTTGTCTATAGCTAGAACTTGGGCCCTTGTGTAATGTGGCCATTTGTTTGTGTCAGATCTGATCTTGTGAGTCTTAAATCGAGACAGGGTGGAAAGAGTCATGCAGTGAGGATGAGCGCTGAGGGAGTGTTTGAAGCAGGAACAGACTGTAGGTTTGGCACACAGCTTTGAAAACCCCTGCTGGGCTTTAAGCAATAATTTAAAAAAACAACCTAAAACACAGGAGGTGTGCAGATCACATCAAGAAAAAAAAATTACAATAAAATAAAATCTAGCGACAAACACAGGGGAGTATTGGTTTTCTTCTTCAGAAACTCTTTCCCTCTTCTTCCTAAGGAATTTACACTATACCTATGTGTGCATATATAAAAGCAGCAGTGTAATTGAATCATGCGGTTGCTGTGAGCTCAGCTGTAGATGAAGCTCAAACACCTGCTGTTAATCTCTGATAAACAGCTGCTCATTGCCACTGGAACTTCAATGCTAATTGAGCTGCCTGCCTTTAATTTATTCCTCAGTACTGTATATACACACATATGGCACAGCTGTCAGCTGCATACAGAGGAACTGACAAATATTCCATCAAGTCCAGAAAAAAAAGCTAGTTTAGACGGTTGATTCAAACTGAGTATTGATAACACTTATAATAACTTCCATTAATGATTCATTAATATATTTTACATTTAAACACAAATATATAGTAGCCTAAAAAAGTAATTACACTACCGTTCAAATGTTTGGGGTCAGTAAGATATATATTTTTTTTGTGCAATTTAGAATTTTTATTCAGCAAGGATATGTCCTAAATGTCCTAAAATGTCAGTAAAGACATGCATAATGTTACAAAAGATGCTTTAAAAAACTTGAAATTTAAAAACTTTCTATTCATCAAAAAATCCTGACAAAAATTGATCACAGTCCTCTTTATTAATTACTAAAATTATTAAGCACCAGAACTTTTTACAACATTGATAAGAAGAACTGTTTCTTGAGCACCAAATCAGCATATTAGAATGATTTCTGAAGGATCATATGACACTGAAGACTGGAGTAAACACAGGAATAAGTTACTTTTTAAAATAGATAAAAGATTGTAATAATATTTCAAAATGTTACTGTATTTTTGATTACATAAATGCAGCCTTTTTTTTTTAAATAGCTATGATGTGTTAAGCATTATATAAAATGTTTGTTTTTATAGAAAGGTACCATCTCAGTGGCAGCTTTTGTACCTTTTTTTCTGACAATATAGGGTAACCAGGCACCTCTGGTACTGACTTAATTTTTAAAGTGTTTTTGGTTCCTGTTCCTCACCTTCCGGTCCATCATGCAGGTTTGCAACTGAGGTTGGTCCAGTAAAGGGTAATAACAGCTGTCGGGTTGCCAGGCGACCTCTCTCCAATCACAAGTCCTGTTGTCTGAACAGCTCAGGCATGGGACGACCCAACGACCTGACAGAGATGGAAAATATTCTGTTATACTCTCTTTATACTGCATTATACTACATTTCCATGACAGAACCTACTCAAGTTACAGTATTCACAGGTAATTCATAGTGAAGTGAATCTCTGTGAAGTTTTTAAGTCTTATACAGCTGTATGTCAAAAGTTCAGCATAAAATGATGAATCAGCTGGGAAACTCCAGCTAGACATGATTACTTCATTGTGCCAATTTCAGACAGTCCACTACATGGCATTTTACACAATTTGCGGCAAATATATACATCTTTTCTCTCTCACACAAAGTGAGTAACTCCATCTTAAACAGTTAATTAAAGTAGATCCCCACTGACTTTGATATACTACCCTGCTGAGGATGGCCTTTTTACTTTTATAGCACTGACTGAACCGTCCTCTGAACCCTAACCTAGTGGTTTTAAATCTAAAAGTCCTAGCAGCTGAACACACACTCACAGAATTGAAACCTGCAGAGGAACAACTCACTCAGTAAACCTGTATGAAGTGATTATTTTCCGCCATAAAGTCAGCATGGAGGTCCTAACCTTATAATTGAGCAATGATTCAACTCAGGCAATGAATCAGCATATTATCACACCGTAAAAGGAGACACATAAATTACCGAACTCTGAGTTCACTAGCAAACCTTTCCCATCCTCTAGTGGAGCGGCTAATAAACCGTGAATCTCCTGCTAATGTAGCCAAACACATGATGAACTACTTTGCAACTGAAATATATGGTTTAAGGGTCAACACTGTCTTTCATACAGGAGGAAAAATACGTGGAAAAAGGTATAATCTGTCCACAAAACAGACAACGACCAGTTTGACTTACGATCTTGTACATAAAAAACAGGATTGTAAATCCTACAAGTTTCGGATTCAAATTTCAGATACTTTACTACAAGCTGATCAAAACCTGGAATAAACCTACCAGGTTCATCTCCTGAGAGACAAGGCCGAGGTGAGGCCTGGGCCTCTTCTGAAGATCTCGTCCCTGGAATGGGCTCCAAACCGCAGGGCTGATCTGGTCTGACCACCAGGCCACAGTCCTGCTCAGATACAGTGAGAAAAGAAAGAGAAACAGGTGAGCTTTGAGTCTGGAACGACATTCTGAGACAACAGTCACACTCTTGTGTTAAAAATGTAACCACTCAAGACAATAAAATAGCTTTTTGACAAGTAAAGATTGAGTCGTTTCAAAGTTTCCATAGCTTTTTTCACCCCCTTCGCTTTCATGTGGCCGCGTACGTGGTTCCTCACAGACGAATTAAAGCAGGCGCGTCGCCCGATGCCTGCCCCGTGGCCTTGCCCCTTGTTAGGGGTCAAGGGTCAAACAAACTCAACAGGCTAAATGACAACATCGAGCCTGCCCCGCCGACCCCCGAGGTCCCTCACGGGTGCCATCGGGTCTGGCTCCACTTCAGAAGACCGGCTCTTCGTTCGCTTTTTCATTTGCCCCCTTCCTTAGCACTTTGCAAAGGGGCTTCTCGAAGCCACGCAACATTCCCCAAGTTCCCGCCGCTGTTCTCGACAAAGTGCCACAAGACAACTTAACAGGGATTTTCTTGTTCGTACCTGCACACAGTGTGTGCGTGCAAACACGAGCGGCCTTTTGATTCTGAGCAGGCTGGCATAAATCAGCAGGTTAGTCCGAGCCCGGCGGAAACCGCCTAGCACTTCCAGCATCAGAGCTGGCGAAAAGTTAGCATCCCTCCGGAAAGGAAAACACGTATAATTAATTCAAAGGAGGGCAAAGAAACATGAAAGAACAAACCCCCTTCATTTTATCTCTCTCATCTGTCATTTTTCCATTCCCCAGAGAAGAAACTATGGAATAAAGAGTTTCATCCAAGGTCAGGTACTCTCAGGATGGTTTAGCAGGGGATCCAGTGAATGAACTTGAGATCAGAGCTTGGCTTTCAGATGATACAGTACATCCTTCTGCCTCTATATCACCAGAGAATAACGAATCAGCCGCATCCGGTTAATGAGGGTTTCACAAAACCAGTATAAATGAGAGGACATGAGTGATGAGGAATAGAACAGATGACAAAAACAAAACAGTTGCTGAGTATTTATTAATTTACCTAAGTCACAGGTTCTGTGAAACATTTTGTGTGCCATACGTTTTACATGATTAATGACAATACAATGATTCACGCTACCATATACGTTACTCACATGAATGATACCTTAAATTCAGGGATGTTAGGGATATTAATATTCTATATTATTTAGATACTAAAGTAAAAATGATAGAATAAAACTGATTTGAAATGCACGTGAATTTAAATGTCACAAAATTCGAATGAAAAGTTAACGTATTGCACTTATGAACACTATTAAATTATTAATACAGCATAGTGTTTTTAAAGATTAGCATGCACAATTAAATATCTAGTATTGACATACATACACATTATATATACTCTACCAGCCAAAAGTTTGGAATAATTAATATTTTTTCATGTTTAAAATTGCAGTAAAAACAGTAATATTGTGAAATATTATTACTATTTAAAATAACAGTTTTTTATTTTAATGTATTCCAAAATTTGTCATTTATTCCTGTCATGGCAAAAGTATTTTCAGCATCATTGCTCCAGTCTTCAGTGTCACATGATCCTTCAGAAATCATTCTAATATGCTGCTAAATATTTTTTCAATTATTATTGGTACTCAATAATTAATAATGCTTCTTTTCATTGTTAATGTTGTAAACAGCTCATTATTTCTTGATTCTTTGATGAACAGGAAATTCAAAAGAACAGCATTTATTCGAAAAACAAATCTTCTGAAACATCATAAATGCCTTTATTGCCAATATGAATTTGATGTATCCTTGCTAAATAAGTGTTAAACTCTTTAATAATGTGACACTGAAGACTGGAATAATGGCTGCTGAAATTCAGCGCTGCCATCACAGAAATGAATTAACTATTAAAATACATTAAAACAGAAAACAGTTATTTTAGATCGTAGTAATATTTCACGTTTTTACTGTATTTGTGGTCAAATAAATGCAGCCTTGGTTCAGACTTCTTGCAGAATTCTTTCAACACCAATAAATTGGCTTTTGATGAATTTGATGTATCCTTGCTAAATAAGTGTTAAACTCTTTAATAATGTGACACTGAAGACTGGAGTAATGGCTGCTGAAATTCAGCGCTGCCATCACAGAAATGAATTAACTATTAAAATACATTAAAACAGAAAACAGTTATTTTAGATCGTAGTAATATTTCACGTTTTTACTGTATTTGTGGTCAAATAAATGCAGCCTTGGTTCAGACTTCTTGCAGAATTCTTTCAACACCAATAAATTGGTTAAATTACTTTTAACTGATAAAAATTTTATACAGTGATATATTGCAGAAATACAGTAAGTCAGCTTAAACACTTTTTTTAAAGACGTTTTTCATGCATTGAATGTATGTGTGCGTTTTTTCGAGTGTGTGTGAACATTTCAGCTCTGAAAGCTTGCTGAGCCACTCGTGTTAGTTACAGGGATCAGAGACCAACAGCAACGGCAGTGTAATCTCCACTGATCAAAGTGAAAGAAAAGCCAGGATTACTGCCATACATCAGACCGTGCTCTCAGCGGCCACCACGGTCAAATCTCTGCCTTAGAACCAGCTCTCACAAACCACGAGAACCCTCTGCTTAGCTTTTATCTTTAACAGTTTGTTTCGAGAGAGAGTCTTAAGCCCTCTGAGAGGAAGGACACATACTTAAGAGGGCTGTTTTAATAAGCCGTCATTGGAGACAAAGCCCTCAGCTGTAGTGCAATGAAAGACATAAAAATTTACAAGCAGGAGATTAGCAGCTTTCTGTCGGGATCAAACATGTAAAACCATTCCAGCGGGATCAAGTGGTCCTCTATATGGGATGAAAGTAAAGCAAATGCTAGTTGAAATGAAACTTTGATGTACAAAAATGACAAAAGTTGAAATAAAGGGAACATTCTTATCATGCCTACTTTAGATATTTTTAATTTATTTCTTCTTTTTTGCCATTTTAACAAATTGAACAATTTTGTAACTTTTTATCTTACAATTCAGATTTTTTTTTTACAACTGCGAGCTTACCTCTCACAACTGACTTTTTCCATCAAATTGCGCGATATAAATGGGCAACTGTACGAAAACATAGCTTTTTTTGTCAGAATAGGGACTTTAGAATTCACAATTGCGAGTTTTATCTAAATTCTGAGAGACCAAAGTCAGAGAAAGAAATTGCAAGAAAAAAAGTCAAAATTGCGAGATAAAAACTCACAATTGCGAGAAAAAAGTCTGAATTGCGAGTATATATCGCAACTGACTTTTTTTTAATCACAATTGCAAGTTTATATCGATAATAGTTTATATTATTATTCTGACTTTATATCTCACAATTGTGAGTTTATATCATGCAATTTTGAGAAAACAAATATGAGACGTAAACTTCTCACAATCAGTCGCAATGACATTGGAGGAAACGGGTTTCTGTAGAAATTACATCATGAGAGAATAATCTTTTGTTAACATTTATTTTTGTGAATCTTTGTAATAACGGCAAAATGACCGAGTCTATTTTTAAAAGCTCTCTTACAAAATTACCTTTTTCTCTTTTGGCCTGATAATAAGGTGAAGTAACCAAGAAATTTGTTCAGATGGGAACTTGATTTGACAGATGTTTTATTACAGGTCAGTGTGAGACGTCCAAGTGTCCAGCCAACAAAGAAAATTAGAAACTTGTTGATAAGCTGATGTAGTTGTTGCATGCTTTCCTCAACACTAATCAATGCAAAAAAAATGCAATTAAATCAGGTGCATTGTGAGAAGTGCCATACAGATGTCCGATCTGGTCACTGAAATACAGCCTTTGTTATGAAAGACTGAAGTGGCTTTACCCAGAGTGTTTAATGTAATCCTGTGGATTGTAATCCTATAGAACTGTCATGCTGTCAGCCAATCCATCACACTATAAGACAACCTAGACAAGCTTATTGGGTTTGATTTCAGTTAGGATGGAGAGAAATGGAAGCAGCATATATGCTGAAGGCATCAAAAAGATTTATTTGAAAGAATGTAAAGGAGGTGTTCCGACTGGATCCTTTAATCAGCTAAGAGAAACAGAAAGAGGTTTTATTTAGTGAAACTTCAAAAGTGGAATTCTAGCATTCACATTTAGCAAATGAAAGATCACAGACCACGAGGGAGAATATTCTGGATGAAGGAATAAGTAAAGAGAAAGAAGCAAAATAAAATAAAATAGAAAATAGAAAAAAATAATAAATAAAATAAAATAAAATAAAAAGAGCATTTCTCAAATCATTGATGCTCAGGCCCTAGTTTAGCCGTTTTTATGGATTAGATCAAGTGAAAAAAAGTTCCTTAATTGAACCCATTTCCAATGTTTACAGTGTAACCGTGTTTTTGGACCATGGACCAAATGGCTGAATCATTCATTAGGAAGAGGAAGGAAGAAGCAATTTGATATACCTTCATATTCATAGTATATGACTGTTTGTCAAACTGTCTCAGGCTCTACTCTGAAGCTCTATGTCTCCAGACATAATTACACAGATAAACATACACGAACACACACGCATGGATACAACCATAGATAGCAGGTCCAAGCCAAACAGCTCATATAGCTTTTGGAAAACAGTATAGACATGCTCTTATAAGGTCAGGTTATCTGAAGAAGAGCTTTACTCCACATCTGGACTCTGTTTTCATACAGTAGATCTCTATTAGAGCTGAATGCAGAGCTACTGCCAGCTATAAACCAAACAGGCACACACTTATGGAAGTCAGCAGATAAATCTGAGTCAATATTAAAAGACAGGAGGATGTCACTCAAATCTACAGAAGAAAGCCTGTTAACTTTGTATTCAATTCACAAAAAGAGTGAATATCGGTAGTATAACACCATACTAGTCATACTGTTCTAGAAGTATGCAATACATTACGAACAAAATTTTCTGTAAATGCACAAAAGTTAAGACATCCAAACTTTTAAACCAATGTTATTTTAGCATCATTCAGACACTAATAGATTTTAT